CTCCTCCTTATTCACTGTCCAGCTTTCAGATGCACAGCAAATGATCAGAAAAACTATGGCCTGAATCTGATACACCTTAGTCTTCAAACTGACATTATTATTCCTCAGTAATTTGGAGAGGTCCCTAATTGCAGACTTTCCCAGTCCCATGATTATCCTGAGTGCTGATATTAAGGGTGTTAAATGTGGATCCAAGTAAGATGAAGTTGTTGACAGTTTCAATGTTCTCTCCATCTATCATGATATTACTTATCACTCTGGTAGTTAAGACTCTGTTTTCTTAACATTGAGATGCAATCCGTATTGAAGGCTGTATTTTTTTTTTTATCTTCTGCAACAAGTGCTTCAAGTCCTCCTTACCTAATTTAGCAAGAAAGGTTGTATCATCTGCACAACGCAGGTTACTGATGAATCTTCCTCCAATCCTGATGACACATTCCTCTTCAGAGTCCAGCTTCTCGAATACTTTGCTCAGCACACAGTTTAAATAGATAGGGAGAGAGAATACAACCCTTACATACTCCCTTCTTAATTGACTTACCATCTAACTTGTCAGTTTGTTGTGTCTGTATTAGTTAGGTACAGCACTTGGCTGTCAGTCTGGTGTACTGAGTGAGATAACTTGCAGGTTGCTGTGATACTAGAAGCTATGCCACTAATATGTCAAATACCGCAAGGGTTACCCAGGTTATGGTAGAGCTCCCAGATTAAGACAGACTAAGATGCAGGATTGGCCATCCACTTGTTAAATAACAGACTTCTGAAAGCCCTATGAACAGTAGAGAAACACAAAGGTTTTTATGTGCCATTGAGTCACCTGTGATTCATAGTGATCCTATGCACAAATGCCTTGAAAACTGTTCTATCCTGTGCCAACTTTACTGTCTCTTACACACCTACCCTCATTACCCCATCATGGTATCAATCCATCTCATCAGTGGTCTCCCTCTTTCTCCATCCCTCCATCCTTCCAAGCATGATGTCCCTCTTTGCAACATGCCCAAAGTATGTCAGATGAGGCCTCAGAATCCTTGGCTCCAAGGAGCAGCCTGGCTTCATCCTCTCTAGGACAAATCTGCTTGTTCTCCTGGCACTTCATGGTATATTCAACACTCTTCTCCAGTACCAAACTCAAAGGCATCAACTCTCTATCATCCCTAGTCAGTGTCTAGCTTTCTGACACATAGCAAGCAATTGCAAAGACTATGGCCTGGATCATGTGCATCTTAGTCTACAGACGACACCGCTGCTCTTCAGTACTCTAGAGAGGTCCTGGAGAGCCGACTTCCCCAATGCAATCCATCTCTTGATTTCCTGGCTGCTGGTAACTAACAGTGGTGATTGTGGAGCCAAGCAAACTAAAGACATTAATAATCTCAATCTCTTCACTATCCATCATAAGTTGGTAACCGGTGCAGTGGCAAGAATCTTTGCTTTCTTGATGTTGAGCTTCAATCCAAGGTTGCAATCCTTGATCTTCTGCAATAAGCGCTTCAGGTCCTCAGTTTCAGCAAGCAGGTTGTGTCATCTGAATGTTGCAGGTTGTTGATAAATCTTCCTCCAATCCTTATGACACATTCCTCCTTATATAGCCCAGCTTCCTAGGTGATCTGCTCTGCATGTAAATTAAAAAGGTTTGGAGACACTACATCCCTGGCAGACACCCTTCCCAATTCTGAACCACGCAGTGTCTCCTTCCTCTGTTCTGAAGACTGCCTCCTTGACCAAGTATAGGTTTCACATAAGCACAATCAAATGATCTGGGATGTCCATTTTTCTCAGAATCGGCCACGGTTTGTTGTGATCCACACAGTCAAATGCCTTTGTTTAGACACTCCTCTGGTACTCTCTGCTTTTAGCCAAGATCCATCTGACATTAGCTATAATATCCCTAGTGCCACAGCCTCTTCTAAACCCAGCCTGCACTTAAGGCAGTTATCTGTTGATGTACTGTGCCAGTCATTTTGTATAATCTTCAGCAGACTCTTGCTTGCATGTTATATTAATAATATTGTTCGATAATTTCTGCACTCTGTACTTTTTTTTTGATGGGGACATCTCTTCCAGTCAGTTGGCCAGGTGACTGTTGTCCAGATTTCTTGGCACAACTTAGTGAGCACATCCAGGGTAGCATCTGTTTGTTGAATTATGTCAACTGGTATACCATCAATTCCTGGAGCCTTGTTTTTTGCCAATTCTTTCAGGGAAGCTTGAACTTATTCATCACCACAGGCTCTTGTTTATACATTTCATTAAATTCTTCAGTGTCAGCCAATTCTTTTTGGTACAGTGACTGTATACTCCATATTCCTTTACTGCATCTTGGATCATTTAATATTCTGCCCAAAGCACGCTTAAGTATTGCAACTCACGGCTTAAATTTGTTCTTTTAATTCCTTCAGCTTAAGAAATGCTGAGCGAGTTTGGCCCTTTTGATTTTCTGACTCCAGCTCTTTGCATATTTCACTGTAATACTTTGTCTTCCCGAGCTGGCCTTTGAAATCTTCTATTCAGCTCCTTAATTTCTTGACTTCTTCTCTTTACTTTGGCTTCTCGGCGCTCTAGTGCAATATTCAGAATCTTGTCTGACATTCACCTTAGTCTTTTCTTCCTCTTCTGCCTTTGTAATAACCTTTTGCATTCTTCATGGATAACAGTCTTAATATCCTCCCACAGCAAACACAAAGGTATGCAGTTCAAATCTACCAACTGCTTCATTGGAGAAAGATAGGCAATCTCCTTTTGTATGATTTACTGCCTCTGAAAACCTGCTGGAGGGTCAGCTACTCTGATTCTGTGTAAACAACAGCTACTCTGACTCGATGGTAAACAACAAGAAGTCATCTTGTTCTGATTATTTAGTCTTGATGTCATTTCATTATACTGATAATTGTTTTTGGCAGAAAATCCATTAAGACTCATCTGCCCAACAGAGACTGGCTCTAATTTTTAAATAATATAACTTTAAACATGTTTATGTATACTTGGCACATGATTACTCTAAGAATGGCTCTAGAAGCAAAGAAAGGTGAACATAACAAAGAAATTTAGGTTAATTATGATGCAATTAAATGAATCTTTTCTTCTTTTAGGAATACTGTTCTTGTTTTAACCAAATGCTCCTTTCTTAGGTTTTAGGGCATTGGTATTAGGATAAATTAACTAATCCAAATGTTATGAGTATGTTTTGGAAAAGGAAAATTTTTGCTCACCAATTTGTGAAGTCATAGAGATAGACAGTGGTAGAGTTATGACAAGCATCTTGTATAAAATTCAAGCTATGGAAACTTTCATCAGTCAACAAATACTTGGTGTACATAATGTGTCAGGTTCTAGAATACACTGACTTTCTCCTTTCCCTATGCTTATTAGCAAATATTCCAATCACTCTGAGGTAGAACAAAGACTTAATTTAAAAAAAAAAGAAGGGGGGGGGACCTCCACAACAATGTGGTTTCATTAATTTCTTAAAAGTTTCAATATTAGATATTTTAAAGTAGATAGAACTCTCCATTTCTAAAGATTGAGTGTGACCCTAATATCCTTCATGTAAATAGTCTAATCTATCTTACACAACTTTAATCTCTATAAAAATTAATTAGAGAAAGAATATTCATGAAAATATAACAGATGCCCTGATCCAGCAAGTGATAACCTACTTTTTGATTGGCTGTTTCAGATTATTAAATGACTTGACTTTCCTTCATACTAGCACAGATACTTTTAAGAAATGTGACTGAAAAAAACACTCTGAATTAGGCAAGATTAAAAAATATTTTTCAGCGAGCACAAAGTTCTTTTATGAATGTACATTACTGAAAGATGCTGTTTAAAAGTTTGTTGTTTCAGGATCTTTAACATGTTGCCACAAATGACAGTTAATACATTGAAAAAAAAGGGGGTTTCTAAGTACAGCAGTCAATTTAAAAGCGTGCGGCAATGTGTTAAAACTGTTGCTGAAATACATGCTGCAACCGGGATGTTTTAAAAACGAGAATAGCTATTTAAGAATACCAACGGATCTTCTATTTGCAGTTAACTTTTTGTACCAAGAAGATCCATATACACAAATTCAACCAAATTTTTTAAAAAGTATTTGAGGTTGGGAAAAAGATTTCTGAAAAACAGAAGCATAAAGTGCAATTTACATATCACTGGTGGTCTAGCCCAAGTCCATCTCCAGTGGTTTGAATCCACCAGTGGTTCTACAGGAGAAAGATGGGCATTCTCTTACTAAGATTTAACAGCCTCAGAACCCCAATGGAAGGGTGTAAGGAATGAGAACTGACTTTGCTTTGTTTTATTATATATTGCATTAGGTATTAGGAGTAATAGAGATAATTTGAACTATAACTGGAAGATCCGCATCAGTTATTACACAATTATATATACAGATCTCAGCATTTGCAGATTTGGTATTTGTGGAGGTCCTGGAATCAATCCGACCTGTTCACCAAGGATAGCTGTATTCATCTCCATATAAGGCTCAGATGAAAGTATTAATTCCTCAATGTAATTTCACAGATTTTTCCTAGATTAGTTCAGCATTTACGGGAAAGCTGTTCTATAAAATAATAATGTGTTTATCACATTTAAATAACTTGATCTTTAAAATCAAGACAAAAGAATGAACAAGATCTCAAGATTTATTATATATAATGTAGTTTAACTACAAATAAATTAAACTTGTGATTCTCTGAAAGTATCTTGAAGAAACCAGAAAAATGGTTCTCTGCTTTTACAAAAATACAGATTACAGAATTTAACTTTAAAAAGCCAATTAATAATCCATGAATGAAAATGTCACTATAATCTGAAAAGTACTTCACTGTTACACAATGGAGTACAAATCTAGTCTTCGAAAGCAAATTTTTTTTTGCTGAATAGGTGAAATGGACTAGAAGTTTCACCTAACTTTGAAAATCTGCACATATCTAAGTTTTGCTAACAAATTCCTATCTTGGAACCTGCATTTCCCATAATAAAAAGGATTTATGTACCTTGATATTCTGAGCATCCACATTAGCTCCAGCTTCCAGAAGAAGACTAATGACTGTAGTGTTTCCTGCTAGCACTGCCCAATGCAGAGCAGTGTTTTTGTGATACTTGTCACCAAGGTTAACTGAAACATTGAATGTTAAAAGCAATCTAGTTGGATCCACACTGAAAAGGAAAAAAACAAACAAAAAAACAACAACAACAATCCTAGTTTCAATTATAGAAATAATTACAGATACTAAACCAATTATAACTACACTCTCATCTCATTTTGGAACACTTCTATCTTAACCTACTGAAAAATATTATAGTTAATATGAAATTAGATTCTAAGATGAAATATTATTTATATACGCTACATCACATAAGGTAACATGGTCATAAAGGATGGCATACTTGGCATCAACATTTTTTATTTCTGATCTAAGAATCTACATCATTAATTCTTATACCAATAAATAATATTAAAATTCTTACTTAAATCTAGCTTGTTCCAAAATAGGGAGCTCTGATGACATAGTCTATAGAGAATTGCCCTGCTGACCCAAATTCTGTACCTCCCAGGCAGTTCAAATCCACCAGCTGCTCTGAGGGAAAAAGATGAGCAATTTCTTCCTATGCAATTTACAGCTTCCTGAAAATCCGCTGGAGGGTCAGCTATAAGTTGATTCCAACTTGAGATGGCAATGAAAATTCTTTGCTCCAAAATTATTTAAGAAAACTTACTGATACTATTTTTTTCAATATGCAAATCATAAAAAATTGTAATTATTTTGAAGATAACCCTGTCTTCCATTCTTAGAAAAAGTTTAGAAAACTAATAGACCAAAGACACTAAAATTACTAAGGCACAGAAGCACACCAGAGAACATAAACAGGTGATTTATATTATATACTAAACATTGATAGTAACATCTATAAATATTAGTAAAGTATTAACTAGCTAATTTTCCTTATCCTCTAATTTTCTAAGTGTGTAAATGACCCAAATAAATAGTTTATAATGGTCACATACCTATGTGTTCTATACGCTGCCCACATTAAAGGAGTCATTCCATTCTGATCCATCATATCTACATCCTGACAGAATAAAAAGGAAAAATTCATACAATGAAAATGTGTAAGTTCCTAACAAATTTACTTCAAAAAAGAAACTTCATTTAATTATTAAAGGGAAGTCAATAGTCTACTACTTAGTCAAAAGTGGCTCATTATTTTATCACTAAATATTTTAAATAGTTCATATACACACAATGATTTATTTATATACATACAATATTGTTTTTCTTTTAAAGTGTTTTAATCTTTTTTTTAGAGGTCTGCACTTAAGACCAACTTTGATCTTTAAGCTACAATGTGATTAAAGTCACTGAAAAACATACGGACTCATAGTAAAGAAAATCAAAACTGTTTCTTTCTAGGCATTTCAAAACAACAACAAAAAAGCCCTTTTTTTAGTAAGCTCAAAAATAAACAAAAAAGGGTCATTCTCTGTGTTTTAGACATGCACATTTTTTAATTTGGTAATTCTGCAAACTTTGGGATAACAAAGCAAACCCTTCCCTTACTCCCTACTTTTTCTTTAATTCATTATTTTCATATGTACTACAATGCCTCTTAGTAAACTATCTATAATTGTGACTTCTTGATTTTCAGTTCTACAAATTCTTTTTAAAAAGATGAGAATTTCTCTACCTCTCTGTATCACACTTCAATAATAAATATGTACTATTTCTCCATTCGTCCTCTCAGATTATAACTCTGGTTATACAAATATTCGATATTCACATTATTATAAATATGTATGAATATTATTCTTAGCCAAACTATGATAACTTCCCCCTCCTATGGAACTTTTTGCTTTCTGTGAAAATTTTTCTCTCTCTTTTGTTTAGTTCAGATTCACCAATGGCTCTGTGGGGAAAATATGGGCTATCTCTCGCCTAGGAAACCTGAGTGGGGGTCCCTCAAAGTCAGAACCAACTGGATGACAGAGTCATACAATATATATGCTATCTTTTTTTAAAGCAGTAATGTAACTTTAAAAAAATTATTTTTGAAGTGACAGTTTCACAGTTTCTTTTATGAGAAATAATAGATATGATTTCATTTTACTTTCACTGTTCTGGTTTCAGGAAAACTCAAAATTAAAGTATCTAATTAAAACAAAAAATGTAAATTCATATGGTTTCTTTTTTTCTTCATAGTTGTGAATATGATTATCTTTTAAAAGGTATTTTAAAAATTCTATAAATAAAGTGAAAACTGCATTCCACATGTCTGCAGTTGGGTTTTTTGTGTTGTTTATTTTTTTTTTAAAAAAAAAAAAAGGAAAATTCAGCTTTCTTTCTCTGGGTCAGAGGTTGAAACTTGATATTTCTTTCAAAATAAAGGTACTCCCTACTGGGAAAAATAATTAACAAGCCCAGATCAATTTTATGAGAATTCTATGGTCATCAGGGCTTCACAATTTTTAGCATTATTCTTTTTCTCACTGAAAACTATACAAAAGAACTGATAGTGAACAGAAAATATATTTAACAGTATAACTAAAATAAATCATGATCAACAGACTGACAAAGCTGTGTGGAAACATTACATATCCTATGCAAAACCATAACCAGGGCTAAATCAACTCTAACTCTCAGCAACCCAGTAAAACAGAGCAGAAATGACCCATAGAGTTTACAAGGTTCTGATCTTTACAGAAGCAGACTGTCACATCCTGCTTCCACGGAGCTGCTGGTAGCTTTGAACTGCTATTGTTTAGCCAGTCCTTTCTGCTATATGCTCTAAGCATATAATATTGTCACAAGTAGAACTGATTAAGAATATATACTTATTTCTTCATATGTAACAGCTATCAATAAAAGGATATTAAAGTTTAAAAATCAATAGTAATTCAATCCAATTCATAATAACAAAGTTAACACTGAGAAAAATTATGAAAAGTCACATTATAAAATACAGCAATGGGAAGGAGAAAATGAAAATATGCTAACTTTATGAATGCTTGGAAATGGAAATGTTGCAATGTGCCACTGAGTCAGATCCTATCATGAAAACTTTGTCCATTTCTTCTCTTATGGAGTTGCAGGTGGATTTGAACCACCTGGCTTTGGGTGGGCAGCTCAGCTCCTTACCCATTAGGCCGTCAAAGCTCCTTAATTTGGAATAGGAACTGACAAAATGTAAACAGAGATGTGATTGAAGCAAAAGAGGGAATGTTGTGCAAATACCTCATGAAAGAATATGTCAAGAAACAATGGTGAGAACAAAAGATTTGTGGCCAACAGCCTGCCTGACTTGATCAAGAAACTGCAAGGAAATCCTTTAAAGTGAGTAAGTGAAGTGGGAGAAAACAGCTCTGGAACCCACCCAAAGTAAAATGTAATATGCAATGGAGAAGTGCCTCTGAATGAATATATGCTAAAGGAAGTTATCTTGAACAGTGGGGAAGAGGTGTTACCTCCTTTTCAATTTCATATTCCAATAAGCCTGAACATTTTACACTAAGAACAAGTTATTTCTGAAAGCATACAAAATTTATTCATGGAAAATACAACATGTATCAGTCACTGATCATAATGTGATTTTTTTTTATAAAGGCCACTCGGTCAGAAATCCTTGCTCTTTGACACTTTATAACCTAGATATTATGCCAGAGAAGTCTACAATAATCATCTAAACCCCAAAAGAAGTTAACAAAAAGACTATGAAAACATAAAAAATATTTTCATTCTCAGATAAAAAAAAAAAACACAGAAAAAGAGTGTGCATTATAAATGTATATCCACAATACAGAAGCCACTAGAGGCTCTGCCATATGTTACAGGCACTACCCAATGCTGCATTTACTTAATGTCACAAATACAAAACAACGATCTCATGCAGATGCCACCTTTGTCTGCTTCTCACTTAACAGGGTCTCTTGAACTTCATGTATGTACTAAACAAATCAACACAGTAAACCTATACCTGCACCAGGGCCTTCTACCTTAAAAATAGAAAGATTAAACTGAAGAGAAGCAAGACTTAAAAAAATCCCAAAACTAGTACCATGACTGCTGCTACAAAATATACTTATCACGTCATATTATATCCATAGCAATGGTCAATGCACAACCAAGATAAGGGGAAAAGTTTTATGACAACCAATGAAGTTGTTGTTGTTAGGTGCCACTGAATCAAGTACAACACACAGTGACTCTATGAACAAAAGATCTGAACCCTGTCCTTCTTGTGTCATCCTCACATTGCCTGACACACTAGATCCCACTGCAGCAGTCACTATGTCAGTTCATCTAGTCTACCTCTCCTTTACTGATCCTCCACCTTTCTGAGCATCAGGTCCTAGCAAGATGCCCAAAGTATGTGAGATGAAGCCTCATCATCTTTGCCTCCCAAGAGCACTCTGGCTGCACCTTTTCCAACACATACTTCGCTTATTCTTTTGGCCATCCATGCAATGTTCAGTGCTCTTCTCCAACATCACAGCTCAAAGGCATCAATTCTTCTGTCCTCCTTATTCATTGTCTAGCTCGCAAATCTATAGCAAGTGATCGAAAAGACCAAGGCCTGAATCTGACACACCTTAGTACTCAAAATGACATCATTACTTCTCAATAATTTGGAGAGGTCTCGAACTACAGACTTTACCAGTGCAATACATTTTCTGATTTTGTGACTGATGGTATCAAGGGTGTTAAGTATAGATCCAAATAAAATGAAGTTTCTGACAGTTTCAATCTTTTCTCCATACTGAATACAGCCTCATTATGGGTTGCTTCTCAATGTCAAGAAGACAAATGTTAACACAGGCAACACTGTGACAGATGGAGAAAAGACTGAAAGCAGGGAGTAGCAGCATTATTTGAGACAGCAAAAACTGAGAAACAGCTTTAAAAATTATCATCTTCAAGAAGTAATTAATATAAAAAAACAGTAAATGACTTCAGAATATGTTTAGATGAATTCAGATAAGTAAAAAATGGTGGTTAAGTGACAAAAGAGATACTTAAGATTATTTTCCTAATTTTCGAGGGTCATTTCTATTATTCTCAGACAAAACTTATAATCATGACTATCTTTCTTATTTTTATGTTAAATGAACTAAATTAGTTTATCAAACTGTTACATCAATAACTGTTGACATCAAACTAACTATATACTTATTTATTGTCATGATATAAAAAAATTACTACTTAAATATCACCAGGTTATACATGTAGCCCCAATGATATAAGGGACTTAAACCATGAAGAGTATCTAACTGAATTCCACACTAATTGTGATATTTTACCTGCCCTTTTGCTATGAGATAAGCAACAATTGAGGTATGTCCAAACTGAGCAGCCAGATGAATGCAGCTACATCCTTCTCCATCAATTAATGAAGGATCTGCACCATATTTCATTAGTTGCACAACCATGGAAAGATGGCCTTGTCTAAAACATAGAAGAATGAACACTTACATTTATAAAGTTATTTCAAACAGGACAATATAGAGAGAGCTTTTATAATTAGGAGAATGGTAGAAAAGATTATAAAAACAGCTTTTAAAGATATTTTAAAATAATTATATGTCAAGGTATATTTAAATTTTTATAGTTCTTAAAAGTCTTAACTAAAGAAACATTTTCTGGCAATTTATGGAGACACTAGAAACTGCCTTAATGTGATCATAATTTAAATAATAAAATTATTCATTCTATTTCAATATGATCTCAATAGTCTCATGTAGAGGTTAGCTTTCCCATCACAAATATATTTTAGGCTACAAAAGTATACACTTACAACTCTAAAGTTTAACTCAATTTCATAAAGAATTGAATCTCCTTAACTCCCTAAGGATATTTGGAACATTGATCTTTCAATGCAGGTAACACAAGAGTTTAATGATATTAATTACTGGTATAAATTCTTCTATTCATTTTCACATATCGTTTTTTAAAATTTTGCTTAGTTTATAGACTAATAAGAGAGAAACAACAAAAAAATTCCAAGAGTAAAATTAAACCTTGTTGCCCAGTGCAGTGGAGTTGAGTTTAGGTCTCCTCCAAGTTGATCCACTATAGCACCTTTCGAAATATAGTATCTAGAAGACAAATTGAAAATAATAGAAATAAAATTTCATTTTAAATATTTAAAAATTATGTGAAACAAAAATGTTTTTCTGTTCTTGAGCACATGCTATCTTGTACCTTTGAAGACAGAATAATGTTCTGTAACATACTTGATTTTATATCAAACATACTGTTTTCATTTAGTCTAATTTTAAACAAAGATTTAGTTTTAAGTTACAAGTAAGAATAACAATATCAAATAGTAATAATAAGAAAAAAAGAATAAAAGTAACCAAAGGAGAATAAAGATGTGTATCAGTTAGTACCAGCACACAGAATCTTAGAATTAGCACAGCTGTCTATCTGGAATAGCTTAGTATCTTAAGCCTTCCTTTTATAACAAGATTATGAAAGATTAAATCACACAAAATATATGAAAGAATTTATAAACTAAAGATCAAAATAAACGTTATTAAAGAACAAAATAATGCCTAATTTTTTTGTTAAAGTCCTGTTGCTTTAAAAAACATTAGTACCTTCATTATTTAATGTCATCTTGACAGCCTCTGAAGTTCAAAGAGCCTGCTTTCTGTAGCTATCTATTACAATGGTTTAACAATACAATTGCTCTTGAATATAACTAATTTCACAATATTTGACGCCTAAGTCTGACACAGGAATATTACTGGTCTGAAAACTGCTTTAGATGACTAATGGGTTCACTCTTAAGACACATCTTTAGGCATTTATTTTCCTCATACAAATATGTAGGATTTAGAAATTTTTTAATTTATGTAAATAATTGTTGAATTGCTGCTTAATATTGGCCAAACAAAATACTTCAACTTATCATAATAACATATTTACAAAATCCTAGATTATTAAGAACATAAATATTTCACTATTACTGAAGTGTTTCTTGAAGTATCTCTTGGATGTTCTATAATAGTTGTTGATTTTAGCATCGTCAAGTATGACTCAGTGCCTCCTAGAATAACATATCTGAAACTGTCCTTTCTTGTGCCATCCTCACAATTTTTGACACACCCAAGCCCACTGTTGCACTGTGTAAATCCACCTGATTGAGGGTTTTCCTCTCCTTTGCTGTCCCTCCACCTAGCCAAGCTTGATGTCCCTCTCCAAGAAATAGGATAAAGGAAACTATTTTTTTTTAGGATGGTTAAGCTGAACCCAAAAGGAATAGCTCAATCAAAGAGTAGCTTTGACAGAATAAGAGTTCTCTTTAAAAAAAAATCCTAATTGGGATCTCTTAAAAGCAATTTTCATTCCCTTCTCTGTAATCAATTTCCATTCCTGGAAATAATTTTTATTTATTTATGTCTGGTATATTTAAAATTTTATCTAGGGTTGTATCAATGAGTGATTTCCAAGCCATTTTAAAGTAACTAATTTTTCATAAACTTTTTCTACTTAAAAAAGAAAAAGTAATCTCTACCACCTTTTCATTGTAAGCTCTTGGAAAAACCCACTCCAATCAAATCAACTCTAATAGTCACTCTCCAGGACAGAGTAGAATTGGCCTGTTTGATTTCTAAGGCTTTAATTGTGAGGGAAATAAATTGTCATATTTTATACTGCGCAATGATTGGTGAGTTTGGACAACTAATCTTTAGTTTAGGAGTCAAGCAATTAATCACTGTGCCACCAAGGTTCTTTAAACACTTGGAAAGAAATAGTGTATTATCTGACTGTATTACTCTTCCTAACTGTAAGCAGGTAACCCAAGACTACTAACTTGTTGGAAGATTACAAGATTTCTCTGATTTTGAAACTCAAGCCTCCTTGTAATATATGGAGGTTATGTATTATTAAGGAATATTCATGGAAATATGACTAACTCATAAATTTTGAAATATAGAACACTTAAGATTATAGATCTGTAAGATATTGGTCTTCACAATTACTTGCTATGCATCAGAAAGCTGGACAATGAATAAGGATGACAGAAAAAAAGAGTACCTTTGAGTGGTAGTGCCAGAGAAGAGTATTGAACATAAAATGATAAAATGGCCTGCCAAATGAACAAACAGTTCTGTTCTGGAGAGGGTGAAGCCAATTTACTCTCTCTGGAGTCAAGGATTTTGAAGCTTCAGCTCACATATTCTGGGTATATTGCCAGAAGGGACCATATCCTTCTCCAGGGACAACATGCTTGGAACGATGGAGTAACAATACAGGAGAGGAAGACCTTGAATGAGAGGGACTGACACTATACATGGAGTAACAGGGGCAGGTGTGTCAGAGATAGACTGGCTCAGGATAGGGCAAAGTTCAGAACTATTTTGCATAGGTTGCTATTAGTTGCAGGAGACTTCAACAGCACAAAACAACAACAAGGTATACATCTAAGATTGTAAAAAAAAAGTCATATGCACAATGCAGGTTATAAAGTTTTCCTCAGATCCTGATGCCACATTCTTCTTTATAGAGTCCAGCTTCTTGAATGATTTGTTCATCATTGAGACTGAATAGATATAGAGGAAAGATAAAGTCCTGATGCACACCTTTCTTGATTTTAAACCACAGAGTATTCCTTTTGCTCCATTTGGACAAAAGCTTCTTAGTCTAGGTATGTTTCACATGAGCATAATTAAGTGTTCTGGAATTCACACTGTTCTCAATGTTAGCAATAGATTGTTATGACGTACAGAGTTAAAATGTCTTTCTTTGCATAGTCAATGAATGCTTTGTGAACAGCGTATTATAAAATATTAATCATTGTAATTTTTAAGAAATATAATGAGTCAATCAAAGTTTATATGCCCAATAACAAGAACCCTAGGCCCTATATGCTTATGCAGTTCATCTAGTGGACAGGCAGATAAAAAAAAGAGATTATAAAATGCCATCCCTAAGAGACAGCGAACATTTCCAGATTAAAAATATACAGAAACAAACAAACAAAAAAATATATATAGAAACTAATATTTGAGGGTTTCTAATTATGGAATTCTCTAAGTCCTTGAACTTCTAGAAAGCTTTGTTATATCCCTCTCCTAAATAAAAGTGGACAAATGTAAGCAGATAATACAGAACAACTTCAAATATAAAAAAGATGGGGATTAAATTGAACAAAAGAAATCCTTCATAAATAGAAACAACATAAAAAAGGAAAGCAAGAAACAGCTTCCAAGAGCTAAGATAATTCATGATACAAGCACAGAATGACTTGATAAAAACAAAACTGAAAATATCAAGAAAGAATTCTTCAAAGTTGAAAAAAATCAGAGAGAAATTTACCAATTCAAAAGAAGTGATTACGACAATGTTCGTTAAAGTAGAATGGCTGTTAGGAAATAAATTTTAGTTGGGGCACAGACGCCTAGTTCCAGGACATGAGGTCCACCTTGTCCCAACCTGTAGACTAGCTGCTGGTGAATAACTATATCGAAAGGAATTGGCAGACACAGAAGAATTTCATGAAACAACATATGAGCAAGAGCCTATAGTGATGAAGGAAGTAGTGCAAGCTGCTTTGAAGGAAATAGCAAAAAAATAAGGCTCCAGGAATAGATGGTATACAAATTGACATTTTTCAGCTAACATATGCTCACCAAGTTGTGCCAAGAAATCTGGAGAACAACCACTTGGCCAACTGACTGGAAGAGATTGATATTTGTTCCCATTCCAAAGAAGGGTGACCCAACAGAGTGTGGAAACTATAGAACGATGTTGATTTCACATGCAAGCAAGATTCTACTTAAGATTATCCAAAAAACAAATAGAACAGCACATAAGCAGAGAACTGCCAGAAGTCCAGGCTGGGTTTAGAAGGGGTTGTGGTACTAGGGATATTGTAGCTAATGTTAGATGGATCTTAGCTGAAAGCAGGGAATACCAGAGGAATTTATATCTGTGTTTCATTGATTATGCAAAGGCGTTTGATTGTGTGGATCATAACAAACTGTGGCTGACTCTTAGAAGAATGGGAATCCCAGAACACTTGATTGTTTCAATGTGGAACCTATACTTGGACCAAGAGGCAGTCGTCAGAACAGAGCAAGGAAACACTTCATGGTTCAAAATTGGGAAGGGCGTACGCCAGGGATGTGTCCTGTCTCCATATCTTTTCAACCTGTATGGAAAACAGATTATCTGGGAGGCTGGGCTCTATGAGGAGATGTGTGGTGTCAGGATTGGTGGAAGATTCATCAACAATCTGCGTTATGCAGATGACAGAACCCTGCTTGCTGAAACTGAGGAGGACCTGAAGGGCTTGCTGCAGAGGGTCAAGGATTGCAGCCTCCAATATGGATTGAAGCTCAATGTCAAGACAAAGATTCTCACCACTGGACCAATTGGCAGCATCTGGATGGATGGTGAAGAGACTGAGATTGCTCACAGCTTTACTTTACTTAGTTCCACAATCAACACTCTCGGCACCAGTAGCCAGGATATTAAAAGACATATTGTCATGGGAAAGTCTGCTGTTAGGGACCTCTCCAAAGTACTGAAGAGCAATGGTGTCTCTCTGGAGACTAAGGTGCATCTGATGCAGGCCATCGTCTTTGCAATCACTTGTTATGAATCAGAGAGTTGGATAGTGACTAAGGAGGATAGAAGGAGAATTGATGCCTTTGAGCTGTGGTACTGGAGAAGAATATTGAGGGTACCATGGACTGCTAGGAAAAAAAAACCAGATTCATCCTAGAAAGGGTTAAACAGGGCGGCTCCCTGGAGGCAAGGATTCTGAGGTTCCGTCTAAGATACTCTGGACATGTTGTAAGGAGGGACCGGTCCTTGGAGAGGGACATCATGCTTGGTAGGGTGGAGGGACAGCGCAGGAGGGGAAGGCCCTCTATGAGGTGGATTGATTCAGTGACTGGTGTAATAGGGATGGGTGTGTCGGAGGCAGTGCGATTGGCACAGGGCAGAGCAGAGTTTAGGGCTATTTCACATAGAGTCGCTATGAGTCGCAAGTGACTCAATGGCACATAACAACAACAAGTTGCGAACTAAAAGGCTAGAGGGTTTAAATGCTTACAGAATTGCTATAGAAGAAAAGTCTGATAATCTTAAAACATTTGTTGTTGTTATTGTGTATCATCAAGCTGGAACTAATCCATAGCTGACACTCCAGAAGGTTTTAAGAGACAGTAAATTACATGGGAGGAAACTGCCTATCTTTCTCTCACAGAGCAGCTGGTGGATGTGAACCGATGCAATTCCTTTGCATTGACAATGTAATTCCTTACCACTAAGCCACCAGAGCTCCCCCTATCAAGATTATATCCAAGAAAAACAGTATGAAGAGTTTTTCTCTACATATGGTGATCCCATGAGTCAGAATCAACAGCAACATATCTCAATTTGTTTGGTTTTATTACTTTTTTTAAGCCCTCTTTCCTCTTATCACTTTAGTGGATTTCTTGGTTGAGAAAGTCTAAAGTCTAAATAACTTTGAAGTCTGTTAATTATCAGGTGTCCTTGACAACAGAGTAAAACTCTGTCTAGTCGAGTGCCATCCTCAAAGTCAATGCAATGCCTGAACCCATATCAAACTGAACTTAAAGTTTGACTTAGTTCTCGCTTTGGATCATTACTGAATAGCATATTTTAACCATTTTGTGCTTAAGCTTTACTATTACTAAAATGATAGTAATTGTATTTTCACATACAATTCTTAAAAAAAATTAGGAGTAAAAATATATTCAAAAGCACTTAGCACAGTACTTACCACATTAACAAGCATTCAATATTTGCTAAAGAGAATATTTTTTCCAAGAAAAATACATATAATAATGTAGTATTTATTTAGTTACTATAAATATTATTAAGTACTTTAAAATACATACTTGACTAAGTCTATTCTGTTATTGATGGCAGCCCAGTGGAGGAGGGTAACATTTTCTTTGTCAGGTTGCCGAACATCATAACCAGCTTCCACTAATTCTCGGCAGCGTTCGTATATTCCGTATCTTGAGAAAAAGAAAAGAAAATGACACTATTAGTAGTATTAGCAAGAAATTGAAAATGGAAACTAACATTTTCAGAAGAAAATAATCCTCTATTTTGATAACTTGACATTACAACTAATCTCTCAATATAAAATATTACTTTGAAACAGCAAGATACTAGTATATTTTACTAACTTTATAATTCTAAAATGTCTCATTTATAAGAATGTAGAGTTCAGGTCTTTTGTGCAAAGGTTACTGAGTCGAATTCAACTCGACGACACCTAACCACTGCTAAATGAGACTAGTGCTATCATATCTGGAGGAACACTCTTCCACTTTGCACATCACTCTTTGTCAATGCGCTGTATGAAGTAACCTGGGTTTGCTGTGATGTTGAACCTTGTGCCGTTGGGGAATCAAATGTCATAATGGCTTCCCATTGTGGACACTAGTGGAGCTCTCAGTTGTAAAACAGGTTTGGAAGCAGGAGTGGCATCCACTTCCTAAACCACATGCCTCTGGAAACTCTTTGAACTTGGAAAAATGACGATAATTATGGAAAGGCATTAGGTCTTTCGTTCACGGAGTTGCTATGAGTCATGCTCGACTTGAAGGAATCAACAAAAAAGAAAAAAGAATATGAATAAGAAATCCACAGATGCTTGTTTTTATTTATTCATATCCTCACATATCTCACCCAGTAAAATACTTGAGGCAACTTACAAAAATAAACAAATTGGGAAATAAAAATTTTTTAAAATGAGAAACAAAAGTGTATACATGATTTTAAAAAAAAATCATCATGAATAAAGGATGCTTTTGTAAGCCTGTGAACTGTTCATCTGCAAATTTAACATTTAGCTTAATATTCCAGAAGGCAAATACATAAGGGTTGTGGGTCTGGTTAACAAAGGTAAAAGAAGAATAATATAACCTAGCTCAATTTAATGATATGAAAAAGAACATCTAGTGGGATAGTTCTATGGTGGAAAACCTCTATATGGAAAGCTGGATTTTCCTTTATGGTAGCAGTTTATCTGTTTGTTTTTATCTTTTTTAAAAAAAATTTTTTTCTTTTCTATTGGTTTGAATTGGAAGCAGGAGTGGCATCCACTTCCATAATAGCTTGCCTCTGGAAACCCTATGAACCTGGAGAAAGGACAAAAGTTTTACAGGAGGTGTCCAGGACTTTCGTCCATAGGGTTGCTATGAGTTGCCTGCAACTCGACGGCACTTAACAACAACTCAACATTGGTTTGAAAACAGGAGCGGCATCCACTTCCTCAACAACATGCTTCTGGAAACTCCATGAACTTTGAGAAACGATGAAAGTTATAGAATGAGTGGTGCTGGACTTGACCACAATGAACAACAATTAACAATAACAATTGGTTTGAATACAAAATTTGTATGCATTGTTATTTCATTCATATACACTGCATTTCACATGTTCCTTTAATCACATTGTGTTTCATACAATCATTCCTATACATGTGTTTTAAAAACTCAATCACCATCAATCTATGCCCACTATTAGCCCATCTTTTCAGTCCCCACTGGATCTTTCCTGATTCTTTCACTCCTTCCCTCAGCCCACCAAACTGTGACCAGCACAGTTACTTTTTGTTGTGGAAATTTTCAAGCATAAGTACAAAGAAAGAAACTAATACAATGCAAACAACAAGTATCTATCATAAAGTCTAAATAACTTTGAAGTCTGTTAATTATCAGGTGTCCTTGACAACAGAGTAAAACTCTGTCTAGTCGAGTGCCATCCTCAAAGTCAATGCAATGCCTGAACCCACTCTTACAGCCACTGTACTAATTTGTCTCTTTGACAGTTTCTCCTCTTTTTTAAAAATCTTGTATTCTAACAAGCATGATGTCTTTTAAAATGGACTAGCCTCTCCTGGTAACATACTAAAGTATCAAAAATGAAGACGGAGAAGATTTTCAACAAATTTTGTAGTTTGAAATTGATCATGTTATCAAAATGCACTGGTAATTACCAATGACTGGTATTTGAAAGCTGGAAATGAATCAGTAGGTGGAAAAGATAGCTTTGATGATAGGATGCTGGGCCAGGGGAATAATGAATCATAAGAATGCAGTATGTCATCAGGAAAGAACAAATGGCCTTGTCCACCCTAAGGGCTGAACCATAAACCACAATGAAATGTCCCTTCCTACCTTTCCCCCCTCCCTCAAAGCCCTGCTATAAAAACACCAGAATTCACCCTAAGCACTTCTTCCTTGGCCTCTATCTCCAGACCAAGGAACCTCGCCACCCGAAGTTCCCTAATAAAACTGTCTTTAAGCTTTCCTATATTAAGGTTCCTTTCCTGAGTCCACCACCTGATGACCTTACATAGAATACATCAGATTACATGAAACAATTTGGCAAGACAAATGACCCTTTGAAAATACCTTTTTTCAACAACAAAAACAATGCAGATTAACATTGTCAGGTAGAGCTCAAAGGTATCAAATTGACAATAAGTGTGTAAAGAGAAAACAGAGTACCTTAGTATCACCTGCCAGGACAACATTGGGCAGAAGAACTCATATCAGTTCAAACTTTGGTGGGAAAATTAAAACAAGTCCACAAGAGCCAAATTACAACCCAGAGTTTATCCTAAATGAATTAAAAATCATCTCAAGAATATATTTTATACACTCTGAACACTAATAACTAACGATCAGATAATTTGTTGTGGAATAACATCAAGGACAGCATACATAAGAGATGGTTATAAAAACAGGAAAGGAAATAGCAAAATGGATGTCAGAACCATGCTGAAACTTGCTCTTGAATGGAGAGTGGTTAAAAGCAAAAAGGAAGACATGATAAGATTTCAAAGGGTGACTTCGAAGGGCAAAGCAAAATATAATATAATGTAATGTCAAAGATCTAAAATTAGAAAACCAAAAAGGAAGAACATTCTTGGTGTTTCTCAAGCTGAAGGAACTGAAAAACAAATTCAAGCTCTAAGTGACATTAGTGAAGGATTCTATTGGCAAAAAATTGAATGATGGAAGACGTTTCAAAAGAAGATGAAAGGAATACACAGTCACAGTACCAAAAAGTATAGTATATACTGAAGAACTGGTGGTACTAAAGCAAGAAACCCAAACTGCACAGATGGAGTTCTATAAATGCTCATTCATTTGCTTACGGTAAGACATTTAGAAGGCAGTTAATTGGTCATCTGACTGGAAAGATCCACATTTATGTCCATTCTATCAGTTCAGCATAACTAAACTAATGAGTCCTTCAGATTATAGGACACAAAACAAATGTAATTGAGCTTCTATAATTTAATTTGAGATCTCCAAAGTAAAGCGTAAGACCCTTAACCAGATGAATTGACATAATGACAGCAGCAATGGACTCAAGTGTGTCAGATTGTGAGAATGGCACAGGATGGGACAGAGTTCAGATCTGTTGTTCACAGAGTTGCTACCATTCATACTCCACTTGATGGCACCTAACATCAGCACAAAAGTAGGAGTGTTAGACTTCAGAGTGTGGATAGAGGAGGGGCTACAGAATAATAGAACAATAGAGGCAAATATCTAGCAGTCTAGTCTGCAGATAGGTCTTCAAAGAAATTGCAGCCATAGTGTTCTCTGAATGATGGAGCAAGGATGATAAAACTTCTTCTCACTTACTTTGGGCATACTGTTAAAAGGAGCTATTCCTTGGAAAAAGACATCATGCTTGGAAAGGTACAGTAAGCAAAAGAGGGACAACCCTCAACAAGATGGACATAGTGACTGCAGCAATGGGCTCAAGTATATCAGAAATGATGAGGATGGCACAAGACAGATTCCAGTTCAGATCTGTTGTTCTTAAGGTGTCTATGAGTGGAATTCATCAATGGCACCTAATAACAGCAGCAGCAGTAACATTAGATTAATTATTAAGGTATCGTTTATAGGTTCCTTTGAGAATACAATGTTGCCTCTTAGAAAAATATTCCCACATACAAAATTTGGCATCCAATTCCAAGGCATTCTAGGAACCTCAGAGCCTCTTCATAAGGATGTGGTTGTTGTTGTTATGTGCCGTCAAGTAGTTTGCGACTCATAGCGACCCTATGTAAAACAGCCCGAAACCCTGCTCTATCCTGTGTCTATCGCATTGCCTCTGACACATCCATCCCGATTACCCCAGTCACTGAATCAATCCACCTCATAGAGGGTCCTCCCCTCCTGTGCTGTCCCTC